TCCTTCATATATGCCCTCGGTTGAACAGTTTCATGTATTCGCCTCATTAAATCTCTCCTCAAAATAAAGAACATTTCTTGTTGAAATGTGTTATCAATTCTTCCATGGGTGGGATGGTGCACGCAGGAGCTGAAGTACAGTCTCCAATTACATGGACTGATTTCCCAATGAAGATCCATAGATGCCTCAATGCCACAGCACACATTGACCCCATTGGTACTTTAATTTGCAATTGTGTTTACCATCAGTCGGGCATACCTGGCCCTGCAGAATAACTCCAAGGAAAGTAGGCCTGCAGCTCTTCATGTTATAATACATATGCAGCAGTCAAGAAATGGCTGTCAGCGAAAGCAAGCAGTTTCAGGCCGTAGCATGTATGGAAACCAGAGCTCAAATTCCGCCTTGTCAATCCATGGTAGTGGACGTAGTGGCAAATATTTTAAAGCTTTGTGCATAGAATCAGCCAAATCCAACTCCGTCTACGATTCCAAGGCCAGAGCCGGGACTTGGTGAGGTTAGTGTTGGGAGTCTGCCCCATAGGATGCCACGGAGTGAGACTCGGGTTGGTCAATTCTGCCTATTAAGACTGTGATGCAGAATGAAGAAAGCAAGAGCCGACTTCGAAAATAGCATCTCACACCCCAAAGGAGCAAATGGTAATTTACCAGTGCGAAGGGGGAGGGTACCACAGAACCAGTACGCATATCATCATATTAAAACCCAATCAACTGAGAAGGGCACTTCATTCATTCAACTGCACTACTTTCAACAATTCGTGATGTGTGAAAAGCAGTCGGTGGAGGCCATTTGGGTTGCAGGCTTTATCAAAGTGAAGGTGTAGTAGTACACTGCTTCACATTCACCGATACACACTGATTACGGTGAAGACGAGTGTAATGGGAAGAAATGAAGGAAGGACTGGAGGTGGAGGAGTGGTTGAGTAATGGGATGCACATAGGGATATTTCAACCAAGGTCAGATACGAAGATTAAAAATACTTCCAATTACTGTTTTGGCTTTACTGA